GACCCCGTGCATCGCCCAACTCTAGTTTGCATAAAGTGCGCAGGAGCGTGGGAGGCCGTTCATAGTCCGTAAAGACGGAATGCTACATCTCTGTTGCCTTTTGCTATGAAAGTAGGAAGTCACAGAAGGTTCATACCATCGTTACCCTTTTACAACCTTTTCCAAACTGTCCTTTCAGGTGTGGATTGATATTTCACGTGCTCCTCCTTGGAGTGCGGCGAAACTTCGTGAGCTGTAGCCGATTAGAATATCCTTACATTTTCTCTAAATTCAAGCTCTCAACTATAAACCTATTTCGCAAACTAAAGCATGATATTGACAATTTGGAAAATTATCATCTGAAAAATCAAGGGTTATTCATCTAATCGATACCGGCTTTAGGTACTTGTCTTCATCTAAGAGAGCTGAGGCGGCGCGGCCGAAAGAACGTCACCCTTCTGATGGCGCACTTTCCGCGGTCAATTTCTGGAGACAATCTCGCCTTTTTCAAATAATTCCCAATCCATTCGAGTAAATGGAAACACACTTGTCTAGGACGACAAATACGGTGACTTTAGCTGGCAGCTACTGTATGAACAGCGAGGACTGTACATGGTCTTACAGTAGGACAAATCGCATTCAAAGTGACAATGGTGTTTCTCATAGGATTATGTTGCTTGGAGCATCTTTAAGAAGAAATTAGCGTCGAATGCTTTATGCTTTATTCTATACAGCTGTGTTCGGTGTGCGCTGAGCCTTAGTTCTGAATGCCATCCCACAAAACTGAGGAATAACATTCTCTACACTCACAAGTGTCTAGAGCCATTAATTAAGGTTTTTATCCAATTTGAGTGGTGACCAAGACGGCACATTACATGGCATTATAATAAGTGTAACCGCAGTGATAGATAACTCGATGAATTTCCGTTGTTCGGGAAGCTGTTACTACGGGGGAAAGCATGCGATCACTTGCGAGAACTAGTTTATTGTAGAACTTCTCGAACTACGTCAATCGGTTGTTTTAACGATTCCATACGATCGTTGTAAACAACGCTCACGGTACGTCTGCGAGCATTGGATTCCTGCACTGATTCCCGCCCTGCCTTTCTGAGCCATTACCTTAGTCACGAGCCCGTTAATTGCTAGAGATAAGATGGATCATTCAAAAGTAGCCACATGGACAATAATGCAAATGCCTTGCCAACTATTCTGAGCAGACCGTGAAGAAGTAAAGCACCCCACTCGCACCTTCATCCTCTCCACTCATGTGCTCCGCCATGATTACTACTTTATTAGGCGCTATCGCGATACACAGGAGTATTGTGGGCATTGCACTTGAAACCGTAGAACGTTTCTTTTTCGCTGAAAATGGGACCCAGTTTCAGGCAGTAGAGGCGAGTATCCCGTGCGTAGAACATTTTCGTCCCTTAGAGTTTCTGCTCCCTCCTGGGCTTATAGTTGGTCCTGAAGAATGCTCCCGTATATTGCGATAGCGCCGTTTTCTTTACTGCTGATATCTTTTCATTAGCGCTCTGTCGGGCCCGAAGCAGATACTACACATTGAACTCCGAGTGCTGTTCATACACCTTGCGAGCCAACAAACCTTTCCTCATTCCACAGTCGACTATTCGTAACACACTCGACCCACCAACTATAAACTGAAGAGTCTATCAGAAACCTCATAATAGCCTTCTTCCGACTACAGCAGATGTTTTTTTCGGGAACATGGTGCACGGTAGGTGCTCAATGAAGTCGTCCACGGATCGTGGACCATCGCGACGTCACAGGAACGCTCTCCAGAAGTGGTCCAACACATTCAGAACCATCTCTAGAAACCATCGCTATCACCTAACCGATTGAAGAAATTATGTAGCAGCTTCAGGCTGGAGCGATTACGGTAGGCCTCTTGAGCTCGACGGTGATGGCAGATGACGTCATATTCTGAAGACGGTGAGGGCAGTGAAGGAGGGCCTGCTTCTGCTTATGGGGGACACCTAAGGAATATTTGCCGTAAACATTCATCAACAGCGGCACCCTGTGCGACAAAAAGTTTGATGATGTGCGCCATTGGTTTATTGACTCATTTTTTGTCTCCTTCCCCACTTCGAGCGGATCAAAGCCTACTTGAACTGATAAAACTCTGCATTTCTCACTTGCCTATCAGTAGGCGCACCACCCCGAAAGGCTGGATACTCTTTTTCGCTCAACATTTTTTCTTCTACAATTCATAGCTTAGAAGGTCAATTTTAGCCCCAAATACTTCTCAATAGCCCCGAAATTCCAACTGAGAGCCGGATCAGAAAAAAAGTGGGCTGCTCTATGCCTCATATTTTTAATAAGAAGAGAAGCCTCCGAAGGAGATCAACTTAAAAGAGTTTTTGTCTTCAGCGCGAACTTCGATGATTTGAACAACAAATTTCAATAAACACATTTATCATTCTGATGTGATCAAGTACAGTAGTTACAAGGCATCGAAAATACTACGCTCCACTGAGATGAAACTTCCCTAGTGATACAACATATCTCAGTGGTGCTAGAAGCTCAGTCCGACTACAGACAAGCAATAGACCGGCTATACATACAACCCGAAGGGAGAGTTACTTACACTACCATTCGGCGAACAAGAAATCATCTAAAGACAAACAAAACTGGGTCAGCACTATCGACAGGTATATCGGGCGATCACGACAAATTGCAATCAGAAACGAAAATGAGATGAGATAGAGGGAATTTTCTAGAAATCCTCGTTCAAAAGTTGTTCAATGAAAGGTTGAACGACGTCACCGTGACTCCATGCAGTTGGATGGAAACGGAATCGTGGGCGACCCTGAAAAGTGAGAGTTTTGGGTCAAAAACCATGCCAATAAAAAGAAGAAGGAAGATGTAGTGATAAAAATTGTTCAATGAAGAAGCGACTGTCCCTCGCTCCCCTCTCCCTCCCCATGAACGCATCGATTAGTCCATACAGTACGTCAAAAAACTTTCGCCGGAACGAATTCAAGCATTATTTTTTCCGCTTGAGGAATCCCTCCAAAGTGATGTATTGTGTTATTCTGATGTTTTTACTTCTCAATCCTAAAGATTCAGGAACCCCGTCAAAAGAATTTTGCCACCACTTGATTTTTCTTCTGGACAAAAATGTGGAGAAGAAAAAGCGAACACTTTTTATTCGCTACTTTGCTATGTTTGCTCTGTTTCCGAAAACGCGTTCACAGCTGCTATCGCATCGCAGCGACATTTTCTCGTAAGGTTCCACGTGATTCGTTCCTCTCACGGGTTGTACATGCAGCTTCACTTCTCTTTCACGATCTTCTCTCAACTGTTTGAGGGCACTTCTCCCCAACACTTGTATTTTGAGGTTAAAGGCCCTTCTGATGAATGGCGATTGGGCAGACTAGCGTCTCATAAATTAGCTGGGAATCAAACATCATCACGGACTTCGCTCGGGGTAGATCAGTTATACTTCGAGTCACGATGTTGAATTAAGTGAAGTTCAACGTTCGCGGCAGTTGAAGAGCAGAAATATTGAATCTCTAACACGGGAATACTCTTCGGCCCGCACGTGATCGCTTCAGGGAGTAGAATAAGAGAATATGAGAGCAGTATTATTAAATGATGTGCACTCCTCCAAACTACCTTCGGGTCCTTCAAGGTGTTTGGTATATAGTACCATAAAACATCTTTTACAGACTATAAGGTACTAAGTCTTGAACTCGTACAGGTAGGGGCCAATCGTTTATTATCTCTCATCATTCCGTCTGATTGTTTCCGTACATATGATCTTTTGGCGTGCCCATTCTTAGTCTGGAACTGAGCGCAAAATCGCACAGCTTGTCTATTGCAGGTCTCGGCCAATAACATTTGGCCACTTTAGACTTTTATCTCCTTCTTATTACTTACCATTAACACATGCTCTCATTCACCTAGTGCGTCAACTCTTATATATCACGGTAAACTAGTAACAATTCCCACATACTCGCAACACTCCGTGCCGCTACCGTCAACAAACGCTTACCCTACAACTCTTCAATACGACTGAAGTCTACTAACAATATCATATTCGAAAAGCCACATATACGACCGCTCCCTTCTGGACAACGCCATTGTGGGGCAACGCTTCAAATTCCGGATTTCAAAAACTTGCTGTAGACTATACAGCCGGAACACAGCAGCGAGAGACAAAAATCGCCTCACCGTTATACTCCAGAATGCTTCAATCCTACTTTAGGCCACATTCTCAAGCAGGTGAGTGGCTCATTTACTTTGAATCTCCCCCCCAGCCGGCCTGACTTGATCGCCAGACAACTTGGGATTGACGATGCTTTGAATCAGTCAAAACGGAGTGATCTCCTAACTGTAGTACGAGGTGACTTCTCCATCATTTCAACCCTTATCATTCACTTTTCCAGATTGCCTGCTACTAAATCTCGGAAGTTCTATATAATAATGTGACGAGGTAAAATGGAAGGCGTTACCATACTAATTTATCAAGTTTCCATACTGAACTTAATTAATCAATCCCAATCGCGCATTGCAAAAGCGTGGAAGCGTGACCGGAATTACCATCGGGAAAACTGCGTGATGATTTCGTCGAGCGCCTGGGACACGGTTAAACTAGGAGGGTGTCCCAGCTATCTATACGGGTAGATTATCGCGCGGTCACACCAATTGCAATCCATCACCTTTCGTCTCGCTCGCACAATCTCGACGACAAAACTAGAAACTGGTTGTCGTCGAGAACTGAGCCAACGCACAGGGTCTTTGTTAGTATCTTTACTGCCTTTCTGTGTTGGCATACAGCCAACACGGCTACAAAAAACACTCAACTGTTACTGACGCTAGCTAGACGCACAAATTGCTGATCGATCTTTTTGATGGAACAAAAACAGCTTCTAATGGATCAATTTTGATTGAGCCTAATAGTAGTTTGTTCGGTTTTGCAGCCAGAATAGAATTCGTGGTTAACGATTATGACGTTGGTGTAGAGGTAAGTGGCGCCATTACTGCTACTGTGTATACTGTGGCTCATCATAGTATATCAGCTTTCTAGGAAATTAAAGTCAGGTGCTATCACAAAAGCGGGAGCATCTTGCAGAGCCAAGCCTGGGGGAGCGAAACTCTGAGAAAAATGAATATTGCTCACGCACCTGGAGCCTCTCCTCCCTTGCTCAAGGCTTGCTCCCGCTTCGAAGGAAAAAGGAGATCCTGCGAGAGCGCCTATCGGTCCCCTCTAAGCCTCGTTCACGATAGCCCCTCGTGAGTGAAGCAATTACAGCGAGGAGACCATTTAGGAGTTGGACCAAATTCATCAAAACCTCAATCTTTCTAAGCCTGGCCTTAGCCTAGAGGGTTAGGCTCATTCTTTCTCAAAGTTGCCAGATCTATCGCTCAGCAACTGTCACTTATTTATGAGCCACAAGAATTCCCTGTGAAGTAAGAAGTGTTTCAGCAACTCAAGCCCCGAGATGAAGCCTCTTCCAATGACGCACCCGTGCGCCTTCCTGAACTTTCGAGAAGTAGAGACAATCGCAGCTGTTCTCAATCGCAGAGATGCGGAGATTTTAGTGATTTTTATTTCCATTGATAATTTTCAGGTGGAACTGAGATATGTCGTTATAAGGGCCGAAACTGACATTATTTTTCGGACAACCTAATATTTATGGCGACTTGCCATCCGACAATATTCCTTTGCGATCGGTTTTCTGGAGCTAGGCTTGAAAGTGGACCCTTGGCACTAACATTTCTGTCCGCTAGGTGTATATTTCATTGATTAATTCCCGCAATTCAAGCACTCCTTCTCAGAAGGAAATTTACTATTGGAGTTCATGGCGCATTCCCAGTAGGTTGATAAAGCCGCTGGTTTCCCTCTTCCGTAAGCTAGTGAGGAAACATAGACAGCAACAAACCTTCAGGAACTCGTAAAGAGGATGATGATTCTCTCCGTTCACGTCGATTTTTCCGTACACATGAAGATTCTGATGGCGGCTTCCATCCGTTACCCGGTCGTACATACATAATACCGTTCATAGAGTTCATGAGTTTCAGCAGGTTCCTATAATCGCAGCAGCAAATCATGAAGGCGAATGATTAATTACACTACAGGTGCATTTATGCTTTGTTCTACTCACCTGCAGATAGAACTGGTTGCACGGGAACGCCAAAATGGTGAACCCGTCTTTTACGTTCTTCTCGATCAACGGGTTGAAGTCAGTGTATTGCTGAGTGTAAGCTGAAAATTATTCTTTGATCTTCAATCGTTACGATCCAGTTTTCTAACCGCGACCGTGCCGATCGCCGCGCTCATTCGAGTGTGTTTACTTGACACGTGTGTATACATCACCAACACCTACCATTGCCCGGACGCAGACGCCTCCGAGTTCCGCTGTGCGACAAAACATACGTCGAAAAAAACGCGCACGACCCACCGGGCTATCACGTTTACGGCACGGCTTGATTTCCATTTACCATGTGCTAGTCTTTCAGTGTCCAGAATATTAACCACAAAAAAAAATCGCAATAGCTTAGTCGGCCCGGAGCAATTACGGAACCCGTCGGGCCCTTTGGGAAATCAACTATTCTTAGATGTTATCGTCTTAGCATACCCAAATATCGTAGAGGGAATGCGTTGGCCTGACATTGCGTTTTATGACTGGGCTATTTGGCGCCTTCGTTCCATCAACCTCCTTTGTCTCCCCACACTCGTTACCAAACGCGCCGCTCAATCGTTGGCCTAGTGAGTGGGAAGGGTGGAAGAAATAAAAGTTGAGACGAGCAACTTACAGTACTTGTGACGAAGCCCAGAGAGAAAAGCGGATTTTTGAGCGCAGGTGCCACGCAATTCTCCCCAAGACGTTTCTACCCCTCTTATCCTGGCGGAGCTCAGTTCCGATCCCATACCACAGTTTTTGAATCGCCCCCTTCTGAAGGTTCCTCCTCCAGTAGTGCCTTCAGCGTCCCTTGTGGCTTAATGCCAATCCACGGGCTAAGCACATGTATAGGCATGAAGCTACCAAGAGCTGACCATAAATTCGGCCGGCTCAGTCCAAAGAAATAAATAGCGTCGTTCAGAAAGACCGGATCACATACACATCAAGAACCAAATCATAATAGATTTGGATTTATGATGATATGATCGCTTTACGAAAAGGTTCTAATGATACAATAGAATGGAATCTCAGGCTTATACTTAACAATAGGTGGTGATAGTTTTTGAGCTCACATCATTTCGAACCGAAATAAGGAACCCCGTCTTGTTTTTTTAAAGCACTCATTTTGTCTTTTAAATTATACCTTCAAAATTTTGTGATATGTGTACAGGAAATTACAGGATATTCTCTCGGCAAAGAAGATGAGAGAAAACACAGAATTACGTATTTCTAAACCTCATAGAATCGCCCCTAAAAGTGACTTGACGTGACCTACATTCGACTACTGTAGCCCCCTTGCCAAAAAGCGCTCACAATAGGCGTAGTAGTACTACGCGATACTGTCTGAATTTCTCGTTTGGTTGTTTACTTGTTTTTTATTGTTCAGTCTTTGATCTTCTTATTATCACAATTTCTTTTTTTTTGCAATAAAGAGTTCATCGGAAAACTGTTGTTGGACGAAAAAGGCGAAGCGAACTAAAGACCCTCTCAACAAGAATGAAAACGAACTTCGCTATGGGATGTTTAAGGCAGTGACTGTAGGGAACTATTTTAATTCAATGGCTCAGGAACTGAATAAGGCAGGCAATATGCTTGTTATCAAACAGTTTTGGAACGTTCTTTATTTCTTCTTGGAAACGATTCGAGATGATCTACTCATTTGGTACTGCTAGAGCCTTCGCTGCTGGAGAGATACTCCTTCGACGCCAAACTGCTACCTACCCACTTGCATGATCCGTGACTTTCGCTGACTCTTCACCTAAACCGAGCCGCGAAGGTTTAAAGAAACGCGGCCCAGCATTACAGAATCCACGTGATGGTGGGTATGTTGTCAAACTTATTTCATATAACTTCGCATTTCTAACGAATCAAGGGTTCATCGGGGACCATTATTTATCCTTCTTAGACTTTAATGTAGACGCATACGACAAGCCACTGTATCTATTCCGGAATTAGGGTATACTTCAAGCCCGATTACACAGAGAGGCGCTGCGTAAAGTTCGATTAATCGATTGATGACAAGAAACGCGACAAAGAAAAAAAAGGCTCTTCAATTGCTGAAAACTCTGTGGTCATGCTCGAGGATAAAATGAGCATTTGTGAGTTTGCCTTTCCGCTCAATATTCCTTTTTCCCTGTTCGGGCGCCGGTAAGAGTCGATAGCGTACCCACGTAATTATCTCCGCCATTACAAATCAGGTGGGTTGTTGCCCAGCCGCCAGGTCCTCCTATCCGCAATCTCGTTACCACTTGGGAAAAGCATTGAGGGAGGGAAGGTGTTGGATTGTCAGAGGAGGGGGAGATGGGGAGGGGCGGAAGGTATTTTCATCTCATTAGAACCTGGCTATTTGCCTATTTGATCACATAAGAGAGCAGGGTCAAGTACCTGTTGAAAAACCTCACAGTGGGGAAATAAATGACGCACGTGCTGGAAAGACTCAGTCGTTTTACCAGGCTAGGTTTTATTTCTCCTCAAAAAAATCTCAGACTTTCTGTATCCCTACTGAATTTTTGACTGTGCACATCGGTTTCCCCAGTCACTTTTTTGCTCTCCCGTCGAACCCGTTCTACCCCTTAATCTGCTGTGGCGCGCCCCAATTCCGATCGATGATCGAATAAACTTTACGCACAAGGGATTGCTGTCTGACACTGATGGTAGGACGGAAACAATCCTTGCAGAGACACGTTACGACAAGGGAGCCGCTGTCAAGATGCCCGAGATTTCCGTAAGATACCCCCATAACGATTAGAAAAGGTGGTAGACTTGAAATTTTCGGCGAAATGCTCGAGTTACGGAAGAGGTAGACTTGACATCTTCGGCGAAATGCTCTGTCTCTCCCTCATGACCGCAGCGGTCCTAAACAACGCAATTATACCTTCGAAAGGTTATGCACAGAATTATTGGCATGATTTTTTTCGGTCCTTCCCCGAACACGGTGAATAATGCAACCAGCCAGGTGAGCAGAAAGAGTCACGTAGGGACATTGTTTTTGAACCAACTAGGTAAATTACGAGACATGACGTTTGGGCTAATCGATTGCTAATTGCAACACCACAATTTAATTTGGAAAAAAAAGGTATTTGCAATTTGTTAAATCGCCAATCTCTCAGCGATATCGACGTGACGAGCTCTCCTTCACAAAAAGTAAATCAAGCGAAACGTTGCAGACAGTCAAGAAACCGGTGTTTATTCACTTTTCCATGTGTTAGCTGCGCAAAATCAATAATTTGAAACTAAAAATCGTTTGTTTTACAGAATCGCTCTATCTAAATGGATCAGCAGCTATTCTGGCACTAATACCAAATTTTGAGAAGCATTTTCTAGGTTCTCGGTTTGGGAGTTGAGCTTTTCAGTGTCTTGGGTAATGGTAGTGGTAGGGTAGTGTCATCTGGTATACCGAGGTAAAGAGGTAAATAGTAACTCAAAAAACATCAAGAAGTACTCTCAAAAGAAGGAGACGAAGCCGATAAAGATTTAAGAAAACAATATAGCTTAGCTTAACACTATAGCTCTCCAGTGCTTCTAGACAGCCAGCAGCAGCTCCTCTGATAGACTCTCTCTTAAACTCTCTAGAAGCCGCAAAGGTCTATAGAAAGCACTTGAGCTAATTTATGCGATAAGTGATGCTAAATGACGCTTATTGATGTTTAATGATGCTGAATGCTGACTACAAGGTAATGAAAGCAATCAAAGTCCGACTGATGATTAGATACAACGCGCTTTTCTGTTTCTAGTGATAATCAGGGATATATCGTAAACTTTAGAAGCGTTAGAAACTGCTTATTTGTATCACAGTTAGTTATTTTCATGGAATACTTACCACAGAACGTTGCAACATTGATAATCAGAAGAACCTGTCCTTTATATTGTGATAAATCAGTGAATTGCCCTTGTAACGTTTCCATCTAAAACAAAAAATCAGATACAAGTCGTGCCGATGAAATGGGCGTTGCCCTAATTCTCATACTTGAAAGTCATAAATAGACTGGTTCACATCCTTGCATTGACTCCATCGAGTCGTCTCGTCGACCATTTTCGGGCCTGAATTGCTAGTAACTTTTTAATATGGAAGAAGAGAAGAGAACATCTATAAGGTATTGACCAATTCTTAAGAGAGGAAAAAAGACGTGAAAATTCCTCACCAGGCTGGGCTGTGGCGACAGCCACCAGGAAAAAGGCTAGAACCAGAGAGAACATTATCGATGATTGCGCGACCCCGGTCGACTGCTTTTATATTGCCAAGAGAGAGTGGTTAGACACCCGAAAGAGAGTGGGCGGGATCGTAGATGTGTGTGTTTGCGCCCAGGCAGACACAAACAGACGCTGTTAATCGGTTACTTTGTTAGGTAAGAAGCATTGTGAATGGATGATAGATAGATAGGCAAACAGAAGAATGTGATAAAATAGAATAGAGGGCGACAGGCAAACACAAGGATATTATAAAATATTCTAGATTACGATAGATTTAAATTTGGCCAGATTTCGCCAAACCTTTCAGAAATACCCATGATTTCAAGGCACAGAATAATGTGATAAAATAGAATAGGGTGGTAGGCAAACACAAGTATATTATAAATATAATAATGTAATAAGATTGTTAGATATTATGAAATCTTCGAAACCCTCCCTGTAATAGGATAGTTAGATATAAATCGAAGAAAAAACCTTCCAGGAAGAACTTTTGCTTTATATGTCAATACTGCCTTACCCTATGGAGGCAAAGAAGAACAAAAACGGTGTAAGAGCAATGGGCGCCATTTACCACGTGCAGGATCCTAGATCGAATTTCGCACACACAATCGAGTCTTAAAGTCTCCGAGATCGCTCAATCCGTACCAGATTGTGTGGAATTATTACATGAGCACCAACATGTATAACAACTAGCTCTAGCAAGCCAGTATAGTGCAAATTAGGTTTCGGGTCGTATTGAACAGTAGCACTTCAATAATTCTACGGCTGAATGTCTAATGGTGGCGACACTTCAAAAAATGGACTGAGATTGCACATACGCTACTATCCTGTCTCAGGTTCTCCAAGCGCACATCTGACCACCTTCTAAACTTAACTATGCTCCCAGTCCATACATACATAATTGTAAAACGCCACAAAAGATGACTGAGGGAACTGAACTGTTCGCGTCTCAAATCTCCCAGACCTAAACAGTTGCCTTCATAAGGAGGTATAGCCTTCAATTCAAGGGCTTTGCAGCTTCACATTCTTGGAGCTGTGATGCTCCGCGAAACTCCGCCAAGAGTAGGTCCCAAACCTATCTCTGGGAGCTTTCTCCTACTATTGACTATGGGGATTGCGCCATCGACCGGAGTAGAAACGAAGAGTTTTGGACGATCCACTGGCGGTCGGGTACTGCTGCACATGGTCCCTGATTGTTGCTGCAAAATTGCTGTTTCAGTTTTGTTTCTTCTTGTTTTGCGAGCACTCGGACTAAGTTACGGTAAGTGGCCCACCTTGGTATTGCGTGATGACCTGTTTTGTTCTCGAATTTCAGTAGGATAGCGGAGGCGTTTGGTCGGGTAGTCATAAATTGCTTCGATCCTTTCAGGCTCTGAAGAAGGCGACCCCGCCGAAACGTAAGCCAATAAAGTCTGCTTAACAACCTCGTGGAGAGCTTACAGAAATATCAGCCATCAATATATCATGCCGAGGTTCTTGCAAAGCCGTACATTTCGACGTACTTAAGGGAAAAGTCCTTCGATTATGGTAGGTGTACGTGAGTCCGCCGTGCGCCTCCCAGTTGCGTACGCAAACGAAATCCATTTGCGCAAATGCTTTTTGAGTAGAACCATCCCACTCCATTCAGGTGCGACTTGTAGTTTAATCATCTTCGTGTTCTGGCCATCAAACACCGTTGAAGAGTCTCGAGATCTTGAGGTCTTTCTGTTTTAGCAGTGTGTTCTTTGAACATATTTCCTAAAAAAGTATCTATTGCTTGACCTTTCTTGTCTTTAACTGACATAACTAGGATGAATGAAGCTTTTAAGGCTTTTTTGCTATGGAAGCAAGGAAAGAAGAAGGAGCGTAGAATTTTTTGTCTTCAATTTTTTTAAGAAGATTGACATGGAAGGTATAATATTTCTGCTCTCGCAGAACAGTTTTTTCGACGAAAAGTAAATCAGGTGCAAGTGAAGAGCGAACGAAAGTCACGACCGGTTTCTGCAAATCCCATGGTCGATCCTATACACCGCGTAAGCAACTTACTTCGCCATTCGGCTGAAATGTTTCGTAATAAGACCTTCGCATTGTAATTTCGCTGCATCATTCATAGCTAGGGTTCTGCGCACTCATTTCCCATTTCACATAAATCTCTAGGACACCTAACCAAGGCAAGGCCGTGGAACTTGCAACCAATTCCAGTAGCATGAAAGAATCTGAGAAACTGACTTGCCAAATAGTAGACATGATGGTGTCGCTACTGAAAGTCGTACCATTGAATTTTGACAATTTACAGTCATTTTGGCTTGGGTGCCACCTCATTTTTGCCTAACACAAACTTACGATGACTGCTCACATGGCTTCTGCTCATTTCAAGTAGTAAAGGCATTCGTGTCTATATTTTCTTTGATGCATTGCATGAACGTTAGATGGATGGCAATTCCAATGCTGTTTCCTTCTAATCTCTCCATTTCACAGTAATTAAAGGCTACTTGGACTCGGTCCCTTGAATGTTGGTGCGTGTCAACAGAATCGTCCGAAGACCCGCGCTAGTGGACGTGGTCGCGACGTCGTGATGGCGGTGGACGAGTTTTTGTAAGCGCCATTCGATTGTGAATGTTACGGCTCCCTTCACCATTTCGGTCAGTGCATGGGGTGTTTGCCGGTGAACCTGATGCAATGTTGCGGAAGAAACAGTTGTCTCAGTAAGCAAAATGGACACCGATGTCCGCTTTAAAGACTGATGTGGACTGCAGTAAATTCGTCGCTCCAATCGACAAACTCAAGTATTGCCGCGCCCATCGAAAAAGCTGCCGCGTTGCGACACCGCGCAGGTACCCGCGCGCGACAGCGCCACTCTTGGGCGATCCTGTTGACCGCGCCCCTGAACCTCAATCGGACGCTCTCGTCTGCGTTCTCTCACCTAAACAGCGACTCCCGACTACAGTAACCTCGCACACTGGAATTTTTGCTACACTGTAATTTGTGCCCACCCCATAACAGGATTGAGCCAAACGTTGGTCCGATTGTGAAAATTCCACGACCCTCCCCTCCTCGTATCAATTATTGTGAGTGTAGAGTGCGCCAAGGCGATCTACAATATGTACGTGGGCGCGTTGCGCGCTCGTACACAGATCGTTGCCTTCTGTCATCAGGCCGGAAAGAGACTGACAAGAACAAATAATCTTCAAATGAGGTAATTCCCTATCGACTACATATTTTTCGAATTCTGAAGTAGGTTTTGGTCTACGGGATTGCTGCATCAGAGAACTAAGAAAATGTAGCATCTCGGAACACTTTTTGCTATGGCGCAAAGAATTTAGATTTTCTGGAAATGCGCGCTTCCTCTTTCGTGAGTTAATTTTGAGTACTCGACGGCAGGCTCGTCGCGCGTCCACAAGGCATAGTCAGCGGACGAGTCGCAGCGAGTATTGTAGTGATTTCGCGCCAGTTAAATAAAATGTACCACGGTAGGTCCCCCACATAGCACATCACGCGCTGTGACTCCGCTGCTCAGCCTTCTTGCCGCCTGTCGGGTACTATGTATTGGGTTGATGCATAATTATTGCGGATTTCCTTGCACCATCCTTTTTTCGAAAAGATTGGTGTTTTGTTTACGATTTTTCATGAGAATGTTCGTCTCTCTGTGGTTAACAGAAATGCTTATGGAAATAAATGATAAATAAATGAAAATATGAAAATCATCTTCATATTCGCCACATATGCTCTACCACTTCGAGAAAGTTGGAAGGCGGCAGAGTCATTTCGCGATCTCAACGAACTTTTCGGCGAGGGAACAATCGGCAAAAGCCAAGTTGAAATATGGTTCAAGAGGTTCAAAACGCCATATTTACCGACCGAAGCTCCTACAGACTACCACTTCAATCAGTGAAACTGTTGTTGAACTGGCAAACGAACAAAATTTACGACGAGCTGGATGACTTGGTGGCCGATGTTAGAGCGTGGATCGTCTCCAAGAATCGTGACTTCTTCACCCGTGGAATCGACCGACTGCCAAGCAAATGGGAAGCATTCTTGAAGATGGTGACCTACGCTCCGGGGTAATCATTTAAACATGTTTTTGTTGAATAATTTTGTCGTTTTCGCTGAATAAAATTTGTTGGAAAAAAGCCGCAATAATTTTCTTCACATGGAAATTGTGGAAGGTGGTAAGAAAATTCAGAAACCATCAGGTGTTTGCTCTCGAGAAGGTACTCACACTTTTGGGTGTGCTCATTTCTTTAAAAAATCGTCCTGTTGGTCCGTTTGTTGGGCACACGGGTTTTTGGCTTTGGTGACATTTTCTTTCGGTTTATTGCAAGCCTTTACTCTCTAGAGAAAATTAAAGGGAGCTTCGACAAGAACGCTTAGACCTATTTCAAAATTGATCCTATCAAAAATGCCCTTTCAGTCCATTTTCTCCTTCACGTGTTTTGGTATTTGCCTGAAAACACGTTTTCATAATTCAGCTGATCACAACTCTCTTCTATCAAGGCTGTAAAGAAAGGACAACGCCTAGTCGCCTAGAGCTTTGTTCTTCATAATAGGTTCATCCTGAAAAGTCCACCTAAACGCAAGCCAATCGTTTTCGTTGAACCTTAACCGTTTCAAGCCAATTCGATCAGGAGATCGCTATTTCTCTTCATAGTTATGGTCCGATAACACTGAATCCC